GCGAAGCGCGACAGCTGGCGGAGATTCGTGACGGAGGTGGGAAACTCGGAGCCATGGGGATTCGTGTACAAACGCGAGGCCCGGAAGCTCCGAGTGGACGAAGTGCTCAGCAGCCTCCGCCGCGATGATGGCTCCTCGACCACCACCATAGAGGAGACCGCCAGGCACCTGCTGGAGGTGCACGTCCCTGATGACCGGGAGAACGACGACACGCCGAGGCAGCGTGAAATCAGGGGAAGCTCGTTCATCGTGGCCGACGGGAACGATGCCCCGCTCTTCACGAAGGCAGAAATCGTCGCCGTTGCGAAAACCCTGAAAGTCAGGAAGGCGCCTGGCCTGGACCTTGTCGAGGTTGTAGCGCTAAAGGCCGCCATTAAGGTAATCCCTAGTCAGTTTGTTAGGCTCTTTAACGGGTGCCTTCAATGGGGCGTCTTTCCTTCGATCTGGAAGGAGAGCTCACTTAGGGTCTTCCTGAAGGGCGAGAACAAGGACCCGAAGGGCCCTAAATCTTACAGACCCATCTGTCTCCTCTCCGTTGTAGGGAAATTCTTCGAGAAGCTTCTGAAGAAGCGACTCGATCGGACGTCGATGGCGCCGGGGAGACTCTCCGATCGGCAGTTCGGCTTCATGGCCGGAAGGTCGACGGAGGACGCGATCGTTGAGCTGCGTCGGATGGTCTCCGCCTCCGAGCGGAGATACGTCTATGCGCTGCTCTTCGACATAGCCGGCGCCTTCGACAATGTCTGGTGGCCACTAGTCCTGGAGACCTGGAAGAGGCTAGGCTGCCCTCGAAATATCTTCCAGGTTCTCCGCAGTTATTTTAGCGATAGGAAGGTCAGCGTGTCCTTTGCAGACATTCGAGTCTCCAAGGACGCGAGAGGTTGCCCTCAAGGTTCTGTTTTAGGTCCAGCGTGCTGGACAATTATGTTCGACGGGTTGCTCCGCGAACTAGAGAGGGAAATAGGTAGGTCCTTTATCGCGTACGCCGACGACCTTTTGGTCACGGTCGAAGGCGACTCGCGTAGAGAACTAGAAGAAAGAAGACAACGAGTAACAAATATAGTTAGAAATTGGTGCGAGGGAGCCAAACTCCAGATCTCATCGCGCAAGACTGAGGCAATTGTACTCAGGAGCGAGCCGATCAGGAGGGCCCCCATCGATAGACGGGGAGGAGCGCGTCCGGATCAAAAGCGGAAAGCCCACTGGGCCAAGAAGACAGATCTCGCGGCAAGATCACCGACCATTCGTTTAGGAAACGAAAAGATCGCGTTTAAGAAAACAGTTAGGTACCTAGGCATCCATTTTGACAGGGACATGGGAGTATCCTCCCATTGTAGATACTTGAGCGACAAGGTCGGGTCGCTCTTTAGTAAATTAGCTAGGATGGCGGGATGTCGGTGGGGATTGCGCTTCAGTGCGCTCTCTGCGATTTACCGGGGCGTGTTCACGCCGACGGTGGATTACGCCGCTGCGGGGTGGGCCGACTTGTGCGCGGGGGGTGACCTGAAGGTCCTCAGGACCCTGCAGCGCCGAGCACTCATCTCGACGACCGCTGCGTACCGCACGGCGTCGACGGAGTCGCTCTGTGTGGTTGCTGGCGCGGTCGACATCCTTCTCGGCGAATACTCGACGCGGTATATGGCGAGAAAAGAGATGGATGCCAGGTTAGGAAATGTGGTAGTCCCGTTCACCGGGAATGTTAAAGAGACCCAGGGTCTCATTAGGGGCGAGGCGTACAAGATGTGGCAGGCTCGATGGTCTTCTTCGAGCAAAGGCCGCACCACGTACGCCTTCTTCGATGATGTGGAGCGCAGAGTTGATGCGCGGTGGGTCCGCCCTGACCATCACGTGACACAAATGATCACCGGACACGGCAGGTTCCAGGCACGCCTTGCGTCCTTGAGCCTTGTGGAAGGTGAGATGTGTGTGTGTGTGTGTGTGTGTGGAAAGGAAAGCGACACTGCCGCGCATCATCTGCTGCGATGCCCCGAATTCGAGCCACAGCGGGAGGCTCTTCGGGAGGTAGTTCCGGCCGCGAGCTGGAGGTAGCCGGAGGCGGCACACTACTTCGTGTCGACTCCAGAGGCTTACTCCGTCTTTGCGGCCTTCTGTCGGGAATCCCTTTGGTTAAAGGGTCCATGTTAGATTTCACAGCGGCCTACCCGGGGGATGTCGGAGTCCCCGAACATGGGTAAACGGCCTCGCAACCTTCGCGAGATCACCGTGGACCCGAGCCGCTGAGATACGGAAAATTTAATTAATAAGTATTTCTTTCTTTTAGGTTCCCACCTCCATCACCCAAACCCAATACCCACTCCTCTTCCCTTCCCCTCCCATCCAAAAGGATCAGAGCGTGTGTCTGAGCCAGACACTAATGAGCGGGCCTCCCCGTGGTCCCCGTGGGCATGGGGCGCGCGCTGCAGCCACAACGGGCGGGCGGCGCGCGCGTCATGGCTAAACCGCTCATCCTGCAAACACGTCCCGCAGGCGCTGCTGGATTTTTCCATCGCCCTTCCCCTGTCAGTGGTTAACAAACGGTAGAAGTAGATGGTAGTAAGTAGCGTATAGCCTTCACGGCTAAGGAAGAAAAGCGCGGCACCCTATGGATGTCGGGCTTCACACTAACTGCTCTTAGACTGAAACTACCTGCTCTGTACTGAAAGAATTCGTGAACGGACGTGATGGCTATGCGCCATTAAGATATTATTGTAAAGATCCAGTAAGGAATTACCCCCTCTCAGGATGTACGCTTATTGACATGATAGTTTTGAAATTAAATAAATCGAGATATAAAACATGAATGGAACGTTTTTATTTTTAAATAAAATATATGATGGACGAAATAACAAATTTAAATAATTTATCTAATATCAACGTATAATTAATCCGATATTTTCAAACTCTCAGCCTCCTGCTCGCAATCTTGAATGATGGATCTAAATTTCCTCCTGTACTTCAATTTCAGTGCCATATTTGTAAGACTCTTGACAAATTTCAACATTCGTACTAATCAAAGCATCTGGATCATTAATGTCGATTGAAGGTAGTGGTGATATAGGAGGAGCAGCCATAGATTTATTGAGATTAGCAAGAGTCTCTTTGAACATCTCAGCAGTCTCGTCCATCTTTGACTTCTTGCATCGACCTGTAGGTCCTAAATACAGCACGCTTGCAACTGTTGATGATCCAGGTGAAAGTAACGGGAGGACAGAACAAGTAAATGGAGCACTAACATCATCTACAATCTGATCCTCTAATATTTCTATATTGTCTGAGGATTTGATCAATGACGATAGAAGCGACATCTCTTCATCTGTAGATGATAACGTTGGTGAAGGTGTAGGTACAGACACCATCGACGTCCGTGGGAAATTGTCCAGAGATCTGCAACGAGAAATAATTAATTAAAATATTACAAACCATCATATACAATCGTCAATAAAATTATCGTATATTAGCTATATTATCGTATAATAGATAAATTCATGTCAAAATTTCGCACAATTTTACCTATGCATTAAATTTTGACTTGAATTTACCTATGCAATAATTTTGTTGACGAATGTACTAAACTTACTTCCTTTTTCTAATGTGAGGTGTCAGAAATGACATAAAATTATACATGGGCCATTCTGGACGTTGAGGCTGCTGCCTCCTCTCCTGCTCAAGAATGCGCTTCTCCTTTGCGAACCTCTCGCGAAGGGTTTGCCACCTGGCTGTACAATCTTTGACTGATGCTAAAATCATGACGTAAAAAATACTTAAAAAATCTATATGAACTGTAAAGTTTCAATCAAAAAGGATGAATAACCTACTATTGACTTTCTCGGCCATAATTTTCCATGCGGATTCTTTTATTCCGATATTCTTGAATCCTTTATTGTATATTGTATCCATGTCCTTCATTGTATATTTCGGAATGCGCTCGCACACACTCTATTAATAAAGTGTCGTTGATCGATATTTTCTATATGTTGCGATTCCCGAATGCACAACACAATGCCAAATGACGTCTTTCAGTTCAAGTAAAATACGCTTGCAAAAGTCGTGAATGTTGATTTGCTGAAAGTATCATATGAACAGTCCGACTTGACCGAGCGCAAAGTCAAAAGTTGACATTGGCAAGCTTCACGTCGCGTAAGTTCCGATATTTCACGTCGTGATACGTTACGTAAAGTTGATCGTAATTAGCCGCTAAGCTAAGCATACATAAAACAACGTGTTTAAGGTTTTGCGTCACCTCACGTCCCCCACATGAAGTTGATCGTAATCCCGGCATTACTAACAAGCAGTACATTTCAAATGAGACAAGTGTGGCAATAACAATTGAGAAGCACCTAGCAAAAAAGCAAAAATATTATAGCAAAAAAGTTATATATGGCAGTCGTTGATAAGCACCATATATCTAATAAGATGACTCTGCTTGTAACTACTGCGAAGCAGCATACGTAAAAAAAAGACGACTCTGACAATAGTTACTGACAAGCAGCACACGTAAAATAAAGCGCCTTTGCTTGTCATTAGTGCAAAGTACCTCACGTCAAGTAAGACGACTCTGCTTGTAACTACTGCGAAGCAGCATACGTAAAAAAAAGACGACTCTGACAATAGTTACTGACAAGCAGCACACGTAAAATAAAGCGCCTTTGCTTGTCATTAGTGCAAAGTACCTCACGTCAAGTAAGACGACTCTGCTTGTAACTACTGGGAAGCGGCACACGTAAAAGAAAAACAACTCTGACAGTAGTTATTGACAAGCAGCACACGTTAAATAAGGTGCCTCTGCTTGTCATTATTGCAAAACAGCTGACGTCAAGTAAGACGACTGTACTTATAACTACTAGGAACGTGCACACGTAAAAAGAAACGACTTTGACAGTACTTACTGACAAGTAGCATACCATTAATAACACGATTCAGACAATAACTGACAAGCACTATATACATCAAAATAGATGTGGCAATTGTTACTGACAAGCAGTACATGTCACATAAGACTACTTATGGGAAGTAAGAAACGTAAAAAAAAATGCATGTGGCAGTAAATACCGACAAACAAGTACACTAGTGTACACGTTGAAAAAGATGTCTCTGTTCCCAATTATGATTCTGTACATACCATTTTGGTTTCACTGCTCACCTCCGCATGAGCATTATTTTTTTCATGTCCTAACTGTTCTTGACTGCTCTTGGAAACCGATTATTTGTTGTATGTTGTCGTTTACTGTTGTTGTCTGCTAAGAAGTTTTGTAGCCAGAGCTAGGGAATCTTTCCCGGGCGCAATGGCGTTTTACTCCTTCCACTTCTCACACAGAGCGCTTCTGTTCGGCCGAGCGCGCGTAGTCACACGGATGGAAACGTCTCTGTATGAGAAGCGTCTCTGTGTTAGAAGTGGAAGGAGCAAAACGCCAGTGCGCCCAAGAAAGATTTCCCAGCTCTGCCACAGTGGCCTATTGTAGCACTGGCACCACTAGCGCAGTATACGTGAACTATTATGGACGTCTAAATTGCTCTGTTTCATCTACACTTTAGCGAAAAGTAATAGCAATTTTTCATAAGAAACTGTGGTTTTCTAAAGCTTCTAAATATATTTTTGAAGATTGGACGTTATTCCTTAGAACATTTTGTAGTGGATAGATATTTCCTTTTTTTCATATGCATCATAGAAATTTGTTATAACCTATGAATTGTACTAGTAAACATCTAACTTAAATATTTTTTTCGTTTTCAATGAAAAGATTATATCTGCCGGGTGTGTTTCAGAGAGTACTTTAAGCGTGCAAAAGCGCTTTTCGATCAGTTCAATTTGGACGACGTAAAACCTAAAATAAGTTTGTAGGCACAATCCCTTAACTAGACAAACTATAGCTCAGGGTCATTTATATAGGCATATTAATATAGGCATATAAATTACTGTAACTTGAAGTGATTTCAGAAATATATTTATATAAAATTTTTTTATTTTTAGATCCTTAATCTGTCCCTGCAGTGGGTCCCACATATTGTGAATTACATTATATATGTCTTTTACGTACAAACTAGGCTGCATAAATTCCATTGCGGTTGGTGTCCATACGCCACGTATAAGACGTTCAAATAATTTCGTAAACCCAGCTCCATTACCTGCACATAAATGGTAAATATATATATACTTATATACATACATACATATATATATATATATATATATATATATATATGTAGATATATATATATAGTAGATATATATATATATATATATATATATATATATATATATATATATATATATATATATATATATAGATGTATATATATAGATGTGTAATATGTTATAATAAATAAAGTTATATGTTAATGAATAAAGTAAATATTGAAATAAATATAGAAATGAGAGAGATTATGAGAGTATAGAATTGGCGTTAACTTAACATTTATGTAATGTTATCATATTTCCATTCATATATTGTCGATATATTTCACGAATATTTTTATTGAATCATGAAAAAATTCTCTTTAACTGAACGATAAATTAAAACTTTATTAAAATTTTTCATTAAAATATACTTAAATGTTTATTTAATTATTACGACAGTTCTTTAAAAACTTCTGTTTTATCCAGAAATATGTCAAATTAGAAAAAAATATGTAATTATTAAGGTTCTATGTATACTTGTACAATACAAATTCAAAATTAAATATCTTAAACGATACGATAAAGATTGAATTACATATTGTTAGTTCGATTATATGGGTTATTTTAATTAATACGGACAATTATATCATAAACTAACCGAAATATAAAAATATTTTTCAGATAAGAGTTGTTGAGTTCAGAGGAGAATATTCGATGGTCATTTTGACATTTTCGTGAATGGATGAATTCATGAATACAATATCTTGTTGAAGATCATTTCAAGGTCAACTATCGATTTCTAAATGGAATGATCTATTCTTGACCCCGGGAATCGATAGAGCATAGAATTTTACGTTCAAAACATGTGGTCACATCAAGGTCACAAAGTTTTTTTCATGTTAAAACAATAATTCTGATATGAAAAGTGATAGGTTAAAATGTTTTATACAAAAGCTAAAATTCAAATGGAAGTTTGGATGGTGATTTTAACCTTTCGATGAATAACCCATCATTTCAAGATTATTTCAAGATCGATTTTTAAATGGAATGATCTACTTTTGACATCAGAAATCAAAAGAGTTGTAAATTTTACAACGTTGAAAACGTTTTATATTTAATGATCATTTAAGGTTGACCTTTAAGGTTCACGTCAAGATCAACTAAGGCATGATTGTTTGTGACTCAGCCATGGATATTTGTTTCCCAAAACAAATAAATAAAAAAACTACTTTCACTTTAGTAAGTTTCATCAACTTCTATGCATTGTTCCCTCCCTTATCGCTCAAGGATTTTATAACTACGGAAATAAATAATGATAGATTATTCGGGAGCGGTGCACTTGGACACGGTGCATTTGGACACAGCCAATCACAGCACCGTGTGATTAGAGACATTTGTAGGGTCCCTTGGAACAGCGACTTGTGATTGGACTGTGTCCAATTGCCCCGTGTCCAACTGATATACACCCGATTATTCACCTTCGGAGATCATTAATATTATTGTCATTCTTGGAGATCATTTCAAGACATTTTTGTCATTTAACCCTTTAAGTCATGAATTTTTTCGCAATCTTTTCCTTTGTTCAATTGAAATCTGGGGGTTGTTAATTTTGGGGGTCGCTAATTACGAATTTGAAGTCAGTTTTTGAAAATTTAAGATGGCGAGACTACAATATGGCGGACGACAATTTTAAAACTCCTTCGATTTCCGTGAAAATTGGTATCCGAGGATTTTTGGCGTCGCTCATCACGAATTCAAAATCGTTTTTTTGAAATTCAAGCTATTCACAGACTTAAGTCATGTACAGAAAGAAAAATAACTTATCCCAGATGTTGTTATTTTAGTTTGTCATATTATTAAGAGGTTGCATTGAAAACCACTGTTTCTTTTGTGTCTTTGAATATTTATTTTAATAACAAAATGTGTGAATACATTCATCAAAATATTTGCACTCGGAAGCTGACTTTTTCCCATTTTTTTGGTAGAAGTTGAATTCCACAGCGAAAGAACGGTCTGTCTTTTTAGCCAATCCATTCAGCAATCCAATTTTCGACTTCTCCATAATTACGAAAGTGTGTATCTTCTAAAGCATGTTGCATTATTCGGAATTTTTAATTTTGAAAATTTTGAAGTTGCATCATCATCTACAGCTCAAAAAACATCAACCAAGCCATTTTTTTCATATGTTCACTTTGCAATAATTTTGGTAAATGAATTTTTGTTCATTTTAAATGAACAAAAAAATACCATTTTTTACATTCATTTGATTATGAATAATTAGATTTGTAAAATTTAACATTCTGTACAGATGATTCTATTAGAAGAACATCTAAGCTTTATAATTAATCTACATTTACCGCCTTGAAGTCTCTGCAAATTAGTTTAAGTTCGTAAAAACTGCTCTAAAGAAAGTGTATCATATATGACTTAAAAGATTAAATTATCACAAAGCTTCGCGACTTATCGCGACTTACCAAGATCGGTATCCGAAAAGGAAAGAATATTCCAGTCCTGCTGTAATCCGAAACCTCGAACAAAGAGCTCGTCAAGGTTACCTCAGGCGTAAAAGGGAATATCAGGTGTTGCGACGTCTTTCGTGAGGTTTGCTCGCGAGCGACGGCAGACAGTCGCATGTCCGCCGCGTCGGCAAATTGCCGTCGGCCCCGGTTTACGCCACAACGCAAGACGATAAGTTGGGCGCCAGGTGCGGAAAAGGTCACACCACCTTGATAAACGCGAGATGCGATAAGCGACACAAAATTCGCGTGTCCCGGGAACCGTCGGGACCGGTAGCTCTTCATGGTTTTAAGTCGGAGACGAGATGGATTCAGGAAGGGCACAAATGACTCCAAGCGTGATCGATAGTAATGAATTTATTTGACGGGACTCTCGCATGTCCCGGTAATCAGCGCGAAGCTGTTCTCACAAAAGACAACCTCTAGACGCGATCCGGTATTATGCTCGTGACAATTGAAACCCGAGGACGACCTCCTCGGATGAGCCTTCTGACGCACGGCCGCTCCGCGGACGGGACAACGATACATGAACGACAACAATACGAAAAATTACGGAGCAGATAGGAGGTCTTACAGAAGTGGCGGCTCTCCTGGCAACCGCGTCGGCAGTGGCGGTGATGGTCCTCCTCGTGGGTTGACGTCGCGTTCTCCTCGCTCTCTCTCTTTCACGCTCTCTCGTCCTCTCTCTCGCTCCACTTGCTCCGTTCTCTCGCACTCCTGATCTCTCTCCGTCACTGTTTTTCGCTCTCTTTTACTGTCCTTCTCTCTCAGAGTGGCATTCAGTTGGACACAGTACAATTGGACACGTTGCAAATGGACACGGTGCAAATGGACACGGCAATTGACACACGGTTCAATTGGACACGGTGCGTTTGGACACAAAACTTTTGGGCATCGTTGTTTTTGGACACGAAAGAAAATGCACGACGTTCAGTTACACACCGTTCATTTGGACACCGTTCAGTTGGACACAGTTCAAGTGCCCACTGTTCACTTGGACACAGAAGGATGCTCACTGTTTACTTGGACACCGTTCACTTGGACACCGTTCATTTGGACACCGTTCACTTGGACACCGTTCACTTGGACACCGTTCACTTGGACACCGTTCAGTTGCCCACTGTTCACTTGGACACAGAACGATGCGTGCTGTTCATTTGTACACCGTTCACTTGGACACCGTGGAATTGCTTGTCTGTTCACTTGGACGCAGAAGGATGTGCACTGTTCACTTGGACACTGTTCATTTGGACACAGTTCACTTGGACACCGTTCAATTGGACACAGTTCATTTGGACACCGTTCAATCGCCTACTGTTCACTTGGACACAGAAGGATGCGCACTGTTCATTTGGACACCGTTCACTTGGACATCATTCAGTTGCTTGCTGTTTATTCGGACACAGAATGATGTGCACCGTTTATTTTATCAACATTTAATTATGTATCGTTTGTTTATGCAATGGATATGCAACTGATGAGAAATAAAAAATAGTTTTGTAGAAAATATTTGTGTTTTTATTTCGTTTTTATCACATCCAACCACAACGCCATATGCCTAGAGATATTCTAGAGACTCTATAAACAACGACATATGATTGGATGTGTCCGTTTGTCAATGTGCGCATCTGGGACTCACTCCGATTTTCGTACTACTATTTGTGATGTAGAGCGTGGGTAAATTGTGGTTTTGGTAATTATTTAGTTTAGCGGCAACACCTCCGATTTCGATGAAAATAGACTCAATCGACGCGTTTTTGCATGCCAAACAACTTTTTCCTCTGACAAAATCGTCGCTCTTTTTTCTGCGAAGCGAGTATTAATAGATAAAGTTGAGGGCGTATTAGGTTAGAAAATCTATCATACCATCTATCTCTAGCTATGTAACTGAGGGGCTTCGCCCCCCAGACCCCCCTATCACGGAGGGTGGGGGCTGTA